AATGAACTGATAATTGAATGACCACTAGACTGAGTGCCGGTTCTATAAAAAAAGAACAATAATCACTCAGTGTGGGCATTCTTTTCAAATCCATTCGAAGGAACATTCTGAAAACTTATAAATATCTCTTATAAACTTCAAAAAAATGGTCATGCTGGACCATGAGAGTGGACGAAAAGCGCGCCGGTCCCTTGCGGCGGTTTTCCCGCAAAACGCCATGGTCGTCAATGGGTTAATCATCATGCTTGCTGTGGACCATAACAATATGGAGATTTAGAAATGTACATGTGTTTATAAAAAAAATCAAATTGAAATACAAAAGCATCCAATGTTCAAGAACTATCCTACAATCTCTAACTCATTTCTATGCTAAACGTGATTTTAATGAATTTTTCGTTATTTCCCTGTCGTTCACTGTTTGAAAAGGGGATCCATTACTTACTTCATTGTTGTTAAGCTCTCTTCCCTACCGCCCGTGTAGGCCTGAAGATTAATGACTCAAAACTTCTGCTGTATAAACTTTCAGAAGGAAAGCCTTTATCCCAGGATAGGCCGTGAAATTTTGGAAATTCTATTGTAACTATACTGCGGAGCATGAGCATGAGATCTTGCTGGTGGTATTAATGTGGTCGAAAAAATACCACGTAAACATCATCGTGTAAAAAAAGCATAAAATAGACCAAGTACTGTAATAATTAGTACCGACAGAGGAGTTTAATTTGTTACAACATCCCATGTTTTTTCAGTGGGTTTATGACACGATGTCGGAAACATAGGAGTAGAAAAGACATTCGGTCGGGTTGTTTGATACTTAAAAGTTTCGAGTCATTTCAAAACTTTGAACAAAAAAATCGGAATGTAAGGCCTAAAAAATCTAATTTAGTAAACTTGTTTGAGAAACAATGTCTCCAGCGAATTGGTAGATGCTAGTGAAATAGTATTTTATGGTAACTCTTCTCTGCTGTTCTTGGATCTATTAGAACCTCATCGCCTACAGTTCAGGTATAGCAGAAATGCAGTGGTAATTACTGGCGATATGTGTATAAGATAAGTAAACCTGACTACCCGCATAAATTCCTTTGATATTCCATCTCTGCTATCTGATTATTTCAAAATTGAAAAAAAATACAAAGAATGAAGTAACTGGATACTCACTACCTGGCTACTGCCACCATTCACAGCGTTTGCAGCGTTGGTTGTGACTGTTTCAGTCTTCGAATCCATTTTCGCTCTCTTCCCATTTACTGAAATTTTTTAAATTACTGTCTATTTCTACGAAAGCTCTTAACCTAGTCAAGACCATGAACTCGGATAAACTCATCATTTAAACTCAACGAGATCCTCAATCAAAAGATTTCTATTATCCATAAATTTCTAAATTTCAACTGGGAAATAGCTTTTGAGGCAGACATGTAGTAAGGCCAAGTGGCACACTATTATCTACATATATAGTCCGATGATCAAAGACCACACGATACCCGCTCAGCTCCACCATGTCTTCCGTGCCATACGGGCCGGCTAACCGGGAACAGAGTTTTCAAGGAGAAAAGAAGCATCGCTTCGTACATCGGCTTACGGAAGTGCGGGATTAATCAGGGCCGGAGAGTTTTGTCTTTTTTGTCCTCTGAGTAGCTTTATTCAACGCCACATAGATTGGAAAGGAATGGTCCTCAGGAGTACACTGTAACCGATGATGCTCCGGGACGCTCGAAGTTAACTATTTAACAGTAATGAAGCTCACTTTGATTCACAGCAGCGATTGCTGGTCCGCAACAAAAAAAACGATGAAATACCACTTCACTACGTCGAAATGAGATGCTCAGATGGACTGCGGTTGGACACATGAGTAAAATGGAAAATGAGGACGTCATAGCGGTCATACAGACAGCCCCAGTCCAACTGAAGATGAGAGAGCACCGTCTACGATGGGTAAGGACACGTACTAAGAAGGCCACCGAATCATCTAATAAGGGAAGTAATGGAATGCGAGACTTAAAGGAGCGACTACGAGGAGCTCCGAAAAAGAGGTGACGGTACATGGTCAGGAAGTAACTCGACAGAACCAATGTAACAGCAGAAGATGCCCGTAGATAGGAGATGGACGCTACTGTTAAGAATAGCGCGTACCCTGCGACAGCGCGGGATCCACGCTAGGAAGAAAAAGCCTAAGATTTTTTGGATAGCTTCATCTGACCTAATCTAGCTGGGTGAAAGTTAAGAGAAGCTCAACCTTTGCTGTAAGCAAAGAGTGTGAACAGTTTGTTGCCAGTCAATATTCATTTTTGCAGCTATGCAGCTCAAAAAGACAGACTTGAGATAAGACGATCATTGAGAACGACGCGAGTAAGAGAACTCTACAGTTCTCCAGAAGGCCGCAATTTTCCGCTGTTTCTCTTATATCATCAATTCACAAGAGACGCAATAAATAAAAACTTGCAGTTAGGGCGGACCCCTAGACATAAAAAGAATCGCTAGAACTTGAAATTGCACTCAGAGGAGCCCCATTCTTCATCAAAAAGATTGCTATCAAAGCCTGCAGAGCATGCTGTATGGGTCATGGATTCTATTGATAAAAACTTTGCGATCAATGAAATGAGGAACCAGTTGTAGTTACAGAATTCTTACCATGATTCTCCGAATACTTAACGTTATTGTTCCATTCGGACGATTGATTATTAGAGACATCATCGAAAATCTGAATTGGCATGGAATTCGTAGCGTTACCATATTCATCCATATAGTACATGTTAGCTGTTTACAGGTGATAATTGATTGAATTCAACATTCTCACCTGTGAAGTTTGATTACGCTGTTTCAAAGCAAGACTTGTCAGGTATCGACTCCGAGTTTCATTTAGTATACTCTGTTGGGAGCGGCTTGCTTCAGTCACCGCAACACCATGTGAACTAGTCGAAGCCTGCAAGTAAGGGTGACAAATGCCAACAGGAAATAAAATTTTTTGTGATATAAATCGATAGGGTTGGAGGTGGTGTAGTGGCAAGTGGCGCACTATCTCAGACGCACGGTCAGGGTTTCGAATCCCGGATCGATGCCCGCTTAGGCCAACCAAACCTTCCATCCCTCCGAGGTCGGTGAATTGGTACCAGACTCGTCTGGGAGGATAAAAGCACTGACTTGCACATCGGCTGGCCACCGCAAGTCATTGGGTAGGCCACGTACGCACTAATTACCCCACTACGATTCTGAATGGAAATCCAGTGCTGGGGCGCATCCCTCAGACGGGATTGATTGACGCCAAAAACTTTATCCTTTACCCTTTACCCTCTATAAATCGATACTGTTTCATAACATGTTCGCATGCTAAATTGATGTAGTGGACATACGGAACAGTCGTTAAATTCCTTGAAGAACATATATGCGAGGACATGAGTCATAAAGTCCAGTTTTTGATGCACGATTATCGTTATAGGAACGTCGGTCAGTTTACGAAGTGTGCCACAAAGTCATGGGAAATGATCTAATGGAGAGTAATGATAAGGGCGTTACTGTCGAGCGAAAGGGTTGGGAGATGCA